GTTGGTTTTCTACTTCATTCTTTGAAGCTTTCCTAAACTAGTAACAAACTCAACCTTAAAGTTTGGTTTTTGTTTTTTTGTTTTTTGTCGATCGTGGGGCTTGAACTCTGCACCTGGGCGCTGTCCCTCAGCTCTTCAGCTCAAAGTGAGCACTCTACCACTTGAGCCACAGCGCCACTTCCGGTTTTCTGGTGGTTAAGTGGAGATAAGAGTCTCACAGACTTTCCTGCCTGTGCTGGCTTTGAACCATGATCCTCCGATCTCAGCCTCCTGAGTAGCTAGGATTACAGGCATGAGCCACTGGTGCCCGGCCTTAAAGTCTTTTTTTAAAATTTATTTTATGTGGTACTGAGGGATTGAACCCAGGGCCTCATGCATGCTAGGCAAAAACTCTACCACTAAGCCACATTCCCAGCCAACCTTAAAGTCTTAAACTACATCTTAAAGCTGAATAATTATGATGCTAGGGTTTAAATCCAGGGCCTTGGGCTGCTAGGCAAGGCCTTTACAATGTGAGCTGCACTCTGAACCCTTTCTAATTTTTTTTTTTGAGATAGTGTCTTGCTAACTTCTCCCAGGCTGTCCTTAAACTCTGGATTCTCCTGCCTCCACCTCCCGAGTAACAGATTCAAGTGTGCAACACCTCCTTGGCTGGATCATTGTTTTGTTTTGCTTGTTTTGTTAACTAGGGTTAACCTCAGCCTCAGTCTTGTTGCAGAGGCACTCCACCACTTGAGAAATACTCCCGATCCTTTTTGCTTCAGTTATTCTGGGATAGGGCCTGGCATTTTCCCTGGAGTGTCCTGGACCATGTTTCTCCATGTACACTGACCATGTAGCTGGAATGACAGGTGCCTGCCACCAGCTGTTGGTTCAGATGGAGTCTCACTGGCTCTTTGCCTTACACGTTCCAATCCCCACCTCTTGGCTTACTGGGATTATAGGTTTGAAGCATTACACCTAGACCTAAACTGAGTAATTATCAAATGAGTTCATGCCACATTACTGTTGTAGAACAGCAAAAAGAGTTTTCTTTGAAATATCAACAGCAAGGTACCTCTGCCTCAGAGGTTGTTTCCTCTTTTTTTAAAAAAAGTTTTAGTAAGGACTTATTTTTAGTATAGCAGGACAAAGTAGAAATGGGGGGCATTTCCTGCTCCCCATATAGAAAGCGGGGAATGAAGACTGAAAGTGGTGTTGCTTTTTTTTTTTTTTTTCCAGTTGGTCGTGGGGCCTGAACTCTGGGCCTGGGCGCTGTTGCTCAGCTCTTCAGCTCAAGGCAAATGCTCTACCTCTTGAGCCACAGCGCCACTTCTGGTTTTATGGTGGCTTATTGCAGATAAGAATCTCACGGATTTTCCTGCCTGGGCTGGCTTTGAACTGTGATCCTGAGATCTCAGCCTCCTGAGTAGCTAGGATTACAGGCGCTAGCTACCAGTGCCCAGCCTGGAAGTGGTCATTCTTATCTACAGTTTTTACACGTTGGGAGTTGTAACAGTATACACAGCATGCCACCTAGCAGCCCTTAGCCATTGGACAGTGAGTGGTTCTGGGTAGCCAAGCTGGGTGCTGTTCATTCTAAAACATGGAGAGGTGATCTGGCCCACCTAAAATCCAAGGATAGTTGAGTGAGCTGCAGGGCTTCCTTTTGCAAGACCTGCCTTCCAATATTCTGTCCATTCCTAAAGAGTTTGCAGCTTCTTAACGTCTCAAAGAAGGCAGATCCACACAACCCTTGTGTCCCGTGTGTCTTTCTCATAACTTAACATCTAAAATGAAATGGTGAGGGAGGAGCTTGCCATTCTAAGGATTGGTCTTTTCCTTCAGTTTTTACTTTCTAGTTCTAATGTCCAAGTCTGACCCTTCCCTCCCACCCTTTTAATATTTATTTAATTTCCCTCTCTCCTTAGCTATACTGTCTCATTCCCCTTACAAAATAACTTGTGTCTCTTTAACCTTAAAAGAAGTTACAGAGGGTTAAGTTCCATTTTTTGTAGCTGACATTTGTGCTGAGAGTGGACTTCTGACCCAATCTAGAACAAGAACCAAAAATTCTTTTCCCTGTCTTAGTTAGAAGGGAACATGGAAAATCAGTTGGCAGAAAATTCAGTTAATAGGCTGCCATGGATCAGTACCAGAAGGTATTGTTATTCTTTCATTGCTAGAGATGTTTTCCATGAATTTGGTTGTAAATATCTTAGAGAAGTAATCCAAACCTTTGAGATTCAACTCCTATGTCAAGGTTGCCAATCTGTCTCACAGGATGAGTGAGCAATAAGGAGGAATTTTAGATACCATGTAATGAATCTCTAGATGTCTCACAACAAGGAGAGTCTCACAGGGTAGAAGTTCTAGCAGAATTTATTTTAGCATAACAGGATAAAGAAGAGAGAAAGAAACATTCCTTGTTCCCCATGCAGAAAAGGGGTATAAAGACTCAATTTGTCAGATCATCATGTGTCTTGTTTACTAACTCTGCTTCAGCCCTATGAATGTCTTTCTTCAGACAGGTGAAAACTAGTTTGCTGCTCAAAAGGTTTGCAGACCTGCAGGGATTTAGCCTGTGAACCACATAGCTCAAGAAAGAGCTTGGGTATTTCTTGAGCAAGGAAAGTACTTTTCACTGTGTATGTCCCTTGTTCTTGTGAGAGAACAAGCAATATTAAATGACAATCAATATTAAATGTTCAATTAGAGCCCACCAGGCGCTAGTGGCTCACACCTGTGATCTCAGGAGACGGATCTAAGGATTGAGTTTCAAAGCCAGCCCAAGCAGAAAGGTGTGTCTCTTCAATAAACCACACACACACAAAACCCAGAAGTGAAGTTATGGCTCAAGTGGTAAATTGCCAACCTTGAGTGGAAAAGCCAAGTGAGAGACCTAAGCAACTCAAGAGCAGTGAGGGGAGGGAAGGAATGAAAGAGAAAGATACTAAGTTGATACTAAGCCAAAGAAAAGAAAGATCCATATCACTTGATTTGTAAGAAATAGTTTTAGGGGCTGGGAAGGTGTCTCAGTGGTAGAGCGCTTGCCTTGCATGCCTGAGACCCTGGGTTCAATTCCTCAGCACCACATAAGCAAAAAGAAAAAAGCCGGAAGTGGCACTGTGGCTCAAGTGAGTGGTAGAGTGCTAGCCTTGAGCTGAAGAGCTGAGGGACAGCGCCCAGGCCCAGAGTTCAGGCCCCACGACCGGACCCCCCCCCAAAAAAAAAGAAATAGTTTTATTGTTAAAAGTCATAGAGTTCATAAACTATGTAGATTAAGATAATGATGACTATCATTTTGAAGATTAAAAGGTGTTTGTGACTTTAGCTAAGTATAACTATGCCACAGAATTGTGAAATTTATGTAGTTGCTTAATCTCAGTAAAGAAATATTTGAGGGGGGGGAAGCCATGTGAGAGCACAAGGCCCTGAGAGGCACATCTTTAACCTTAGCTTCTCAGGGAGGTCGTATGTTAACAAATAAGCCAAGCATGGTGGTTGCCAGCTAACACCCAGGAGACAAGCACAGTGAGAATCTGGCCCTGCCCTCAGGGTGCATTCTGCCTGGAGAGAGACTTCAGAGACAATAGGTCACAACCAGCCTGATCCTAGTTTGGGCATCTATGTTGAAACTGACTTTGTGTGGGATTTGTGATGGGAGATACACCTAGCAGAACCAGGAGCAGTTCCTCGTTGTGGTCCAGACCCTCACACGGCACCTTCTCAGAGGTTGTTGCTTTCTTGTTTGATAACTGGGGCATGGATGGTAATTCTCAAATGGTTGGAAAGGTTGTCTTTGTGGAATACGGTCAAGTAGGTAGTTGGAGTTGATTGGTAGTGAGTCATAAAGAAGCTTTTTGAACTTAAGGAATAAAAGGCTCTTGATTTGATTTTCTTGGTAATAAAATATGCATTAAAAAGCAGGAAAGGGTCTAAGAGACCCTCAGCAATTCTTGGCACACAGGGAATGACTGGGACTTTAGTAAGATACATTTTTATTTCCAGTGATGAAGATTGGATCCTGGGCTGTGAAGATGTAGACCACACTCTTATCACTGGCCTTTTAAGATGAAGTATTTAAAAGGTTACTCCAGGCTGGGAATGTGGCTTCATGGTCCAGTGCTTGCCTCACATGCATGAAGCCCTGGGTTCCATTCCTCAGCACCACATACACAGAAGCCATAAGTGGTACTGTGGCTCAAGTGGTAGAATGCTAGCCTTGAGCACAAAGAGGCTCAGGGACAGTGCCCAGGCCTAGAGTTCAAACCCCAGGACCGGAGGAAAGAAAATAAAAAACCCAACCTTATCAGGCCTTGGCCTGCTGTTTGTTACTCCTGTCCTTGAGTGCATCATGGAGAGGTGACAAGGAGAGTGCTCCTCCAACCCTCATCAGCCCTCAGTGGTGCCTATGAAGTGCCTGGGTAGTGATAATGAGGTTATTGAGAGTTTGGATAGGGTAAAAGCTGGGAAGAAGCTGGCCTGGGACAAGTGTTCCTGCAGCTGTCATTCGGTAACCTACCAGAAACGACCCTCCAAGCCATAGTGGCACCCAGTCTACCCTGATGAGGCACAAATTATGAAAACTACAGAGTGCTAAGCCAGCAAAGACATGCGTGGCTGTCTGCATCTGCCTGACACACAGCCTCAGTAAGAGGTGAGGTGAGAGATGAGCCCAGCTGCTTAAGCTGCCCGACGTGTGTGCCCTGTTACCTTTATGTACCTAGGTGGGCCTGTCAGCACAGTCACACACTGCCAGAGCCTGGGAAGCCCAGAGGAGGGCCCAGACTGGAGTTCTCCCCTCTGTTATGTGAGGGTGGTTCTGTCACCTAGTAATGGTTCGTGGAGTTTAAAGCGAGTGTTAAAGCACCTGGGAAATACTGTTACTAAAGGTCATGTTCGTTATTTATATTCTGTGTGTGAATAAAAGATAATCTTTTTTAGTTCTTTATTTTTGTCCTTTGTCATGTTATAATATCTAAGTGACATGGTAATTCCCTGCTGTGTGTTTGTTTTAGTATTTTCTCCACTTTGAGCTGGTGAAGAATGGGAGAGCTAGAAGGAACATACAGAGTCCTGCAGACTGCAGGCACACGCCTTGGGAGCCAGACCCCTGTGGGTGTGAGCACCCTGGAGCCAGGGCAGGCACCGTCATCCAGAGTGCAGGACAAGTGTCTGCACATCCGCGTGAAGCTGCTGGACAACACCCTGGAGATGTTTGACATTGAGGTAAGAAACACATTCCTCATTCCCTCTGAAGGTCAGGGACCAGGTACCAGGTTCCATTGGCTAGTTCTACCTTGTACATTTAGACCGAGAGTTTGATCAAGAGGGGTTTTGGTGAACACAGAAAAATCCTTACAAACAGTGAATATATGAGTTCTTTTAGTTTAACAAGTGGTATTCTCTTAACTTTTATCTAAAATTCTGAAAAGATCCAGTGTTTTCACGCTTTTCGTTTGAGAGCCTGGCTTAAAGGACAGCTGAAAACAATCTGCAACCAGATTACTTCCACCCGTATCTTCCCTGCTCAGCTGGCTGGGTACCTGGGTGAGGGAATGTGACTTTGCCTCAGTATGGGTAAGCATCTCTGTTGGGAGACAGATTCACCCCCTCCTTCTCATGGTAGCCGGTGCAATGAGTAGCCGACAGCACTCAGACAGCTGACATACCCAAGCCACTGTACAGTATTAGTGTATAATTTTATTTTTCTAAGTCAACTTTGAATTTTTTGTTTAGAAAGTAAGAGTCACTTAGGAGGCTGAGATTTGGGGATTGAGGTTCAAAGCCAGCCCAGGAAGGAAAATCTGTGAGACACTTACCTCCAGGTAACCACGTGTGAGCCATTCGTGCTTGGCTTGACTTTTTATTTTATTTTAATACGCTGTGGATTAAACTCAGGGCCTCAGGATTGCTAGACATGCAAACCAATGAGTCACACCCTGTTCCAAAGCAAAGCGTTAATGGAGACAGGGAGGGGAAGGAAAGAGGGAGGACTGGCAGGCTAAGCAGTTGGCACTTGAATTCAGAGGTTGGTGCTCTACCATATGAGCCATGCCTCTAGCCCTTTTTGCTTTAGTTACTTGTTTCAAGGTAGGGTATTGGCATTTATACTCACACTGGCCTGCACTGTGTACCTAGGTTGGCCTCAAACTGTGATCCTCTGGAGTGGTTATGACCAGAGGCATGAGCCATAGCCCCTGACATTTTATTTTTCTTTATTTCACTTTGAGACCAGGATCTCACTGTGTAATCTAGGCTGGCCTTGAATTCAGATCCTCCTGCTTCAGTTTCCCAAGGGCTGAGATTACAGATAGGCACTACCAACCTCAGCCTCATTGTTTTGATTTTTTTTTATTCCAGCCATTCTATTGGGTATGTTGTGAATCTCATTGTAATTCAAGATGTTTTAAGTTTTTGGCCACGCTAAGGATGAAAACCTCAACCTCACAATGTTCTACCACTGAACGAGACACTCAAGCCCTAAAAGTGATTTGCAGTGGCTGAAGAAGGAAGGGCTTTGAGCTTAAAAAAAAAAAAAAAAATGAGAATTATATAATTTAAAAGTGAAGCCAGGGCTGGGAAGGTGGCTCAGTGGTAGAGTGCTTGCCTTGCATGCATGAGGCCCTGGGTTCGATTCTTCAGCACCACATAAGCAGAAAAAGCCAGAAGTGGCGCTGTGGCTCAAGTGATAGAGCACTCACGAGCTGAAGAGCTGAGGGACAGCGCCCAGTGCCCCACGACCAACAACAACAACAAAAAAGTGAAGCCTGTCTTAGAAATGGTTCTTGAGACTGTAAGGACGATTGATCAGAAAGCCGCAGTGCAGGGTTATGAGGAGCTAGAGAAAACGGCATCTGCAGATGCTTACCAGCAGTTGAGGCTTGCTTGCATCATTTTAAACTTTCGTCTAGAGTTGTCATGGCGAGTACAGGTAGGAACTTTTATTGATAATGTATTAAAATCAGTGCTTATTCTCATTTATAAGTAGTAGTTACCAAGATTTATGACACTTTCATCTGTAAAAATCAGTGCTGAAACAAACTTGGTTACCAGGTTTTTCTAAGATAAATGAAGTGATATACACTTTGTGGGGGTTTTTTGTGGTTCTTTATATTGACTATAATTAGATTTAAATACTTTCTGTATGTGGGTTTTTGTTCTTTTTTTTAGTTACAGTGTTGCAAAAAAGGGGAGAGAAATCTTGATGAAAGGGTCAGGGTAGAGCCCTGTGTATGGATGTATGCTTCAAGTTAATCAACTTTTGATGTTTATTGATTGGATCTTTGGCTGCCCAAAGTTCAGTCAGTAGCTGGTGTGTGTGTGTGTGTGTGTGTGTGTACACACGTGTGCGCCAGCAAGAGAGAGAGAGATCTAGTAAACTTGGTTTATTTCAATCAGTTAATGAATTATCTGGTTTTGAACATTGAAATGTGCCCTCCGCTGTATGAAGTTTGGCTTTTGAGACATACATTTGCTTGAAACCCATCTGTATCTACTTGCCCTGTGTGCCAGTTGTGGAATAGTAATGTTTTCAGTCTGACATGTTTGGTATGGAGTGTATCCAGCTTTAACATCGTAACAGTGGAGGGAAAGGCCTGGCAGGCGCCCAAGGCCCCACCGAGAATGGTTGTCTTCAGTCTTCAGGGCAGTTATGCCTTCACTGATGGATAATTTGCTATTTTACGCGTTAGAAATTGGGCTGAGGGGCTGGGAAGGTGGCTCAGTGGTATAGCGCTTGCCTTGCACGCATGAGGCCCTGGGTTCGATTCCTCAGCACCACATAAGCAAAAAGAAAAAAGCCGGAAGTGGCGCTGTGGCTCAAGTGGTAGAGCGCTAGCCTTGAGCTGAAGAGCTGAGGGACAGCGCCCAGGCCCAGAGTTCAGGCCCCACTACCAGACCCACCCCCCAAAAAAAAAAAAAAAATAGAATCAGAACCAATGGGCTGGGAAGGTGGTTCAGTGGTAGAGTGCTTGCCTTGTATGCATGAGGCCCTGGGTTCGATCCCCCAGCACCACATAAGCAAAAAGGAAAAAAGCCGGAAGTGGCACTGTGGTTCAAGTGGTAGAGCGCTAGCCTTGAGCTGAAGAGCTGAGGGACAGTGCCCAGGCCCAGAGTTCAGGCCCACGACCAGACCCAAAAAAAAAAAATTGGGCTGGAGGTAGAGTTCAAGCGATAGAGCACTTGACTCTCTGGGTTCAATTCTTGGTACTGCAAACTGAAAGAAAAGAGAAGAGTTCATGTGAGTTACAGCTTTTCTGTTATCTGAAAGTATTAGACCAAGGCGATGTCTGATGATTAAAAGAGCAGTCTGAGGGTAGGGTGTAGCTCAATGGCAGAGCACTTTTTAGCACATTCAGAGGCTCTGGGTTCAGTCAGGGTTGCCTAAAGCGTAAGTCAACCATCTAGGATGTCGTTTGATGTATGAGAGCCTGTCTTGAGGGACTGCATGTTCTGCTGGTTCACAAGCAAGTAGGGATGGAGCTCTGAAGAGCATGAAGGTCTTCTTTATTTTGACGTTCCACTGTCCCATATTTCCCTGTCTTCTGGTAGGCTCACGGGTGTTAGGATGAGCTTCCATTTTCCTTTCTTTTGTTTTTAAATTTTATTGTAAAGATGCTGTACAGAGGGGTTATAGTTAGATGAGTAAGGCAATGTGTACATTTTTTGTCCAGCATTGTTACCCCTTCCCTTATTGTTCTACTATCCATACTTCCCTCCCCCTTCTTTTCTTTTAAGAATTACAGAAGTACTTGGTGCTGGTGGCTCATATCTGTAAAATCCTAGCTACTTAGGAGGCTGAGATCTGAGGATTGCAGTTTGAAGTCAACCCAGGCAAGAAATGCTGTGAGTTAACAGTGGAGCTGTGGCTCGAAGTAATAGACCATTAGGTTTGAGTAAAAAAGCTCAGGAATAGCACCCAGACCCTGAGTTCAAGCTCCATGACCAACAAAAAATAAAATAAAATAAAAACACCACCTCCACCAACAACAAAAGAATTATAGAAGCATTAGTTGAAATATGTAACAAGTAGGAAGACAAATTCTTAGTCATGAAGTTCTATGCTCCAAGACTTTTCTATTTCAGTAAAAGTTGGTATTTTCAGCCTGGCCAGGAAGAAATAGTCAAAATTCCAGAAAGTATCATAGCCAGATGTTTGCCATTGCTCCCACATGGACATCCCAAATATGGCAAATAAGCTGCTTCAAACTTATTTTGGCCTCACCTCAGAAGAAAAAGCTAGTAATTCAACATCTGAAATTTGGGGAAAATATAGGCTTTTTACAAAAGCTCATATGTGTCTCTGGGAGACATAGCTATTATGTTACTCTGCCCTAGGTTTTAGAACCTGTTATTTTGTCATGGAAAGTGGATCTCTTTTAACCCTGACACCCAAGAATGTGGTAGGGTAGTGTACTGCGGAGACGTGGACATTTTTATTCTTAGTTACTCAGTCGTGGTAGTAGAGCGCTCAGTAACAGTGGCCTCCTCCAAACGCTACACACACCCACAGAGTTGGTATGTTGGTTTTTAGGCTAGAAAATGAGAAAGACTAGGGACTGCTGTCCTATAGACCCCCAGTACCAGAGAAATCCCCTAACCACAGATAACTAATAGCGAAGACTACAGCAATGCAGGTTCTCAGCACAGGGCAAAGAAATGCAATTGGCAGCTTTTCACTTTGCTTGGATCACACAAGAGTTCTAGCTCTTGATGTTCACAATGAGAGGGGGCAGGAGTCCCCCAAGGTGACCCAACCAAGCTGTGAGCCCCACTCAGAGCAGCTGAGCATCCCTGTGCTGTTTTTACCTGTGTAGTTCTCCTCTGCCATCAGGAGAGCCAGAAAGCTTCCCTTTAACGTTTTCTGACTGCTGCCACTTACTTTTCCGTTTTGTTTTGGCTGTCAGTCTTTTATGACATTTTAAATGCCTGAGTTAGTGGCCCAGCTCTCTACACACAGTCTTCCACAGGGGCAGGAGAGGTGAGGTGGGTTATACAGCCAGGTACTTCTTCTCAGGCCTCCCATTCCCCGTGTGCCTTACATCTCAACCTTTAGCTACTTGATGGAGTGCAGATGTGCAGCTCTTTCTGCCTGCAGATCTACGAGAGAGACTCTGTGGGACATCTTTATCAGGTCTCCCACTCAGATCCTGGCCCATGCTAGAGAATGGAGTGTTACTTGTGCACATTTCTGTCTCCTCTAGAGCCATGCTGATTTCAGGCCAGAT